TTCCCTGAACACCCCTTCATTCTGTTTTAGCCTTTTTTCATTTTCTTGCTCTTTCTGGGAACTTTCTTCTACCTTATCCTCCAGCTCACTGATTCAGTCCTCTGCTTCATCTAGCCTGTTTTTGATTCCTTCTACTGTGTTCTTCAATTCAAAAATGGTATTCTTCATTTTATCTTGTCTCTTACTGATAGTTTCTATGTCCTTTTTCATGCTGATATAGTTTGCAGTAAGTTCCTCATAGTTTCCCTGTAGTTTTTGGTAATTCTCTCTGAGCTCACTGAGCTCATTGAGCTTCCTTACAACTATTGTTTGGAACTCTCGATATCTGATAGTTTACTTGCCTCTCTTTCATTTAGTTCTCTTTCCGGGGATTCTTTCTTTCCCTTCGATTGGTGGGGGGGCGGGAGTATTTCTTTGTCTTCCCATTATTTGTGAGACTCTTCTTTTTTGCTTCTGCTTCTTAAGTTGATCTGTCTTGATTTCCTGGCTTTGTGGTGTGAACTTCTATGGTAGGAGTCTGCTGTATTTTCTTTCTGGGTCTGCCTCTGATGATGTCAGATGTTGGCCCTGTCTGAACTTAGGCAGTCTGTTCAAGACTTCCAGAAATCTACTTTTTACGGCTGTCTCCTTCAGCTGTTAATCTCTTCACTCTGCACTCAGCAGTCAGGCTTAGGCACCACAGGGTGGGGCAGAGTCCCTCCTGGGGGCAGGGTTATTGGGTCCTCTCACACTTCTGCTGCTCAAGGGAGTCATCTGCCTGAGCCAAACGACTGCTGCCATACAGAGTCAGCACTGGGATCCCGCCGGCTACTCTCTCAGTTCTCTCCCCAAAGCCTCCATCTCCAGTCTCTCCTCAAGTGTTTCTAGACCAGTCTGCGCCCCTTTAGCCAGAGATCTACTATCTGTGGCTGCCACTTTGTACTCAGCAGTCAGGTTTTAGCACCATTGGGCCAGGGCAGAGTCCCTCCTGGGGACAGGGCCATTGTGTCCTCTCATGCTGCTGCTGCTCAGGGGAGTGGTCTGCCAGAGCAAGATGGCGACTGCTGTATGGGGATGAGTCAGCACCAGGATCCCATTGGCTACTCTCTCAGTTCTCTCCCCAAAGCCTCCTTCCCTAGTCTCTCCTCAGGCATCTCTAGCTCACTCTGCCTCTGCCTTTGCCAGAGACCTGGGTAAGTGACTGCAAGTAAAAATGTACGCATTGGCCCTTTAAATAGCTCTTTGAGTCTCCAGCCGCCTGTTTCTAGCAGAGAGCAACCCTGATGCTTTTTGCAGCTGGTTGTTATCTGGTACTTTCTGGGCTCTGGTGCTGTAGGCTGGAGATCCCCACTTATGGTTTAGACCCTGTTCTGAGGAGGATCCAACTGGCCATTTCAATATCCTTCTGGTGCTGCCACCCGTGGGTGCCCTGCCTGCCTTCTCAAGTCTGTACTGCACTCCTTACTAGTTACGTTGTGCTAAAGCTGATTCTTCTGCCTGTCCGAGATTACAAGGCTCCTCTCTTGCTATCGTTTAGTTGTTTGTTCCAGGTGATTTCTCCACAATTTAGCTGTATTTCCAGATTGGTCCTGCGAGGAGGTCGGTATGACTTCCATTCACTCCTCTGCCATCTTGATTTAGAGGAATTTTTTTTAATATATGTTTTTATTTTTGTTCAAGTACAGTTGTCTCCATTTGCCCCTACCACTCCCCCTCACTCCACCCATCCCCACCTCCCACCCTCAATCCTACCCCTCTTTGGCTTTGTCCAGGTGTCCTTTATACATGATTCTTGATGACATTCCCCATTCCGCACACTCCTGTTAACCCCTCTCCCCGCCCCCTCATTACTATCAGTTTGTTCTTTATTTCAATGTCTCTTGGTTTTATTTTCCTTGCCTGCTTGCTTTACTGATTAGGTTCCACTTATAGGTGAGATCATATGGTATTTGTCTTTCACCCCCTGGCTTACTTCACTTAGTATAATGCTCCCCAGATCTATCCATGCTGTTGTGAAGGGTAGGAGCTCCTTCTTTCTTTCCGCTGCATAGTATTCCATTGTGTAAATGTACCACAGTTTTTTGATCCACTCATTTATTGATGGGCACTTAGGTTTCTTCCAGCAGTTGGCTATTGTAAATTGTCCTGCTATGAACATTGTGGTGCATAGATTCTTCTGAATTGGTGTTTCAGAATTCTCAGGGTATAATCCCAGCAGTGGAATTGCTGAGTCAAAAGGCAGTTCACTTTTAGTTTTCTGAGGAAATTCCATACTGTTTTCCACAGTGGCTGCACCAGTCTACATTCCCACCAACAGCGTACTAGTGTTCCCTTGTCTCCACAACCTTACCAGCACTTGTTTGTTGATTTATTTATGATGGTCATTCTGACCAGTATGAACTGGTATCTCATTGTGGTTTTAATTTGCATTTATCTGATGGCTAGTGATGCTGAGCATCCATTCATGTGCCTCTGGGCCCTCTGTATGTCCTCCTTGGAGAAGTGTCTGTTCAGGTCCTTTGTGCATTTTTTAATTGGATTGTTTGTTTCCCTGGAGTGGAGTTGTGTGAGTTTTTTATATATTTTGGAAATCAGACCCTTGTCCAAGATATCATTTGCAAATATATTTTCCCATACAGTTGGTTCCCTTTTCATTTTGCTGATGTTTTCTTTAGCAATGCAGAAGGTTTTTATTTTGATGAAGTCCCATTTGTTTATTCTTCCTTTTATGTCCCTTGCTCTAGTGGACATATTCATGAAAATATTGCTGCATGGAATATCTGAGACTTTCCTGCCTATGTTCTCCTCTAGGACTTTTATGATGTCACAACCTATATTTAAGTCTTTTATCCATCTTGAGTTTATTTTTGTGTATGGTGTAAGTTGGTGGTCAAGTTTCATTTTTTTGCATGTACCTCTCCAGATCTCCCAACACCATTTGAAGAGGCTATTTTTACTCCATTTTATTCTTCTTCCCCCTTAGAGGGTTTGTTTTTCTTTAATCCACAGCTAACTTCATATTAGTGGTTAAAATTAAGTAACAGAGTTCAGTGGATCATCAAGAAATAAATCAAAAGGCATTAGGCCCTGACCAGTGTAGCTCAGTTGATTGGATATTGTGCCACAAAGCAGAAGGTTGCTGGTTCTATTCTCAGTCAGGGCACATGCCTGGGTTGTAGGCAGGTACCCAGTCAGGGCATGTGTGAGAGGCAACAGATCAGGCAAACAACTGAGCAACTAATCAGTGTTTCTGTCACACATCGATGTTTCTCTCCTTCTCTTTCTCCCTCCCTTTCCCTCTCTATAAAAATAAATAAATCAAATCTCTTTTAAAAAGCATTAGAAAAATAAGGGTCACTAATTCAGTTGCAGTTATACTGTGTCACACACAGAAAAATGGAAATATGGTCATGCAGAAGTGGTAAAACAATGTTTATTTAATCAGTGCCAACAAGGAATTAAGGGAATACACAATGTAAATGGAGAAAAACCTTTCCTTTGAGTATGTGAAGTTAAGTCAAAATTTTAAAAATATTCACTCTAGTTATTCAGGGCATACAGGGTGGGACAAAAGTAGGTTTACAATTGTGAGTACACAAAATGCAGAATTTATTCTTGTATTATGATTTATTAATTATTGTACTATTTTCCATATGAACAACTCTAAACCTATTTTTACCCCACCCTGTATATTTATTAACAATATGGTTAGTTCTTCATAAATAGTTAACCCACTTCAATGGTAATGGAAAAAAATATAATAAATAAATAAGTAAATAACTCACTTAAAGAAATCATATGAATATATACTCATTCCAAAATGAGATGAAGAAAACAGGTTACATTTTATGTAGAGTGGCTTTAACTATATACTTTGAGAGCTTTGCATTGTTCTTCCCCATTACCTCAAAGACCCTCCCTTAGTATTACAGATCTTTCATCAATGGAAAAATAATTTGTTCAAGTCTTCTTAAAACAAAACTACTAAAAAGGAAATTTAAATGTAATCCTGACGGGTTGTAATTCAAAAGATGTGAACTGTTTTGTAGCCTAATTCTTAAAAGTGTCCCTGAATACTTGCCTATAATGTAACTTCTGTATTCTAAGTCTCATGTCATAGAAAAGTATCCCTGTAGAAAAAAAGCTAGGTAATGTCATGCCTAAGAATATATAAACCTTTAAAATTACATTTTCTCTGTAATATATAAGGCCAATGTAAAAACAAAATAAAACATATAACACAGTAAATAATAGTACAAATAGGTAGTCACAGAATAGCCATGGGGATGTAAAGTACAATATAGGAAATGAAGTAGCCAAAGAACTTATATGCATGACCCATGGACATGTACAAGAGTGGGGGGATTGCCTGAGGAAGTAGGGGGCACTGGGTAAAGGGGGGCAAAGGGAGAAAAATCAGGACAACTATAGTAGCATAATCAATAAAATATAATTTAAAAAACATATAGTGATTATTTTGATATTTAGGTTTTTTTAATGGCATGAAGAAAGTTAACAAGGGACAATGGTTTAAAGTCCCTCTGTATTTCCAATAATTCTTTCATCATAATTTACAACAAAAATAATTTATAGCTTTCTTTGATTAATCAAACCCCATTTTTTTATGGACTATAGAAGCCTTGAGAATAGAACAGGCTGATATGAACTAAAAAGATGGAGGAGATCAATTCGCAATTGTTCAAAACTCAGCAGTATTATATGAGCAACTTGAGAAGCATAGGTATCAGAACGTATAAAATAGTAAATGATAATGGGGAGTGTACATAACAAATCAAACAGCCAAAGAGACTCACACACACAGTCATAAACTCTTCTGGCACTGATCCACTGAATTTCCCTTCACAGGATTTTGTGGACACAGATCCAATTCTATCAGAATTCTACCACCTTCTTGGCCTTCTCCCTCCTAGTCCCTATTGACTCTTTAAGCTACTACAATAAATCTAATCCATGGGCAGCCTGAGCTTCATAGATTCACTTCATCCAAGAGAGAAACCTACCGTTTTCACCGAGTCACTCAAAGCTTCCCACTGCTGGAATGGCATCGCTATCTGGCTCCTCCGCCAGTGGTCATAGCGGGCTCGACTCTCCTCATTAGTCAAAATTTCCTTTGCCTTCTGTAGTTTCTGAAAAGTCTCCACTGAAAAACAAATCAAAAGATGAGTACTTCTCTCTTGGAGGAGTTATTTTAAACTCTCACACAATCATACTGATCTCACTGGAATATATCCCTGCTCCTTACCAGCTGTGTGACTTTGGGCTAGTTGACCTCCTCAGATTTAGTTTCCTCATTCATGAAGTGTATCATAAGGACAAGTGAAATTATGTATGTAAAGACCTGGCTCACAGTATATTCACTCCCTTTACTGAGCTCCTTTAATGTGCCAGCTGCTGTGCCAGGTGCCGATGACACAAGTGTGAATAATAGACATGATCTATTTAGTTGGACAGACATTTACAAACATTGGAAAAATTATAATTCTGTCTACTAGGAAGAAAACTACCTTTTCTAGTAGTAGTTTTCAGGGAGGGTAGTGACCAGGCTAGAGGAATATTATAAATAAAAATACCTAAGGCATCTTAATTTAGAGGAAGGAGAGAATGCTAATGTGGCTGGAGAACACAGGAGCAGTAGATGAACAATGAGGGAAGGGGCTGTAAAGCAGACAAAGACCTATTATCCAGGATGTTAGAAGTCATGCTGAGGATTCTGGCCTGTTTTTTGTTGTAAGAGCATGGGGGAGCTATTGGGAGGTTTTAAGCACCGGAAATAACATGGTAGATGGTTGAGCATCGGTAGCTTTGTCACTGGTCTATTTGACCAGCTGGCATACAATAGAAACCTTTCATGCCCCTGTTGAAAACACTTCCAATGTCACTTCTGCTCCTCTATGTCTGTAGAGCCCTGGCCAGTGTGACTCAGTTGGCTTGTGCATCATCCCATAAACAAAAAGTTGTGGGTTTGATTCCCAGTCAGGGCACACGCCTAAGTTGTGGGGTCGGTCCCCATTTGGAGGTCTCTGGTCAGAGCACATACGAGAGGCAAACAATCAGTGTTTATCTCACATGATGTTTCTCTCCCTCTCTCTCCCTTCCTTCTCCTCTCTCTAAAATCAATAAGCATGTCCTTGGATGAAGATAAAAAATAAATTTAAAAAGTTTCTATAGAGCAGGATATAAGATTGATATATGAAAACCAATTGTTTCTATACATTAGCAATGAGGAATCTGAAAATGAAATTAAGAAAGCAATTCCATTTATGGTAGCATCAAAAAGAATAAAATACTTAGAAAAAATGCTAACAAAATAAGTACAAGACTTATACACTGGAAACTATAAAACACTGTCAAAAGAAATGAAATCGCTAAATAAGTAGAACGATATCCATTTTCATGGATCCAAAGACCTAATATTGCAAAGATGGTAATAGTCCCCAAACTGATCTGCAGATTCAACACAATGTCTGTCAATATACTGGCTGTCATTTTTTTTTTGTAGAAATTGACACGCTGATCCTAAAATCCATAGGCAAATGCAAGGGACCCAGGATAATCAAAACCATCTTGGAAAATAAGAACAAATTTGGAATAAATCATACTTCCCAATTGAAAGGTTTCAACAAAGCTCCAGTAATGAAAAAAGTGTGATTCTGGCCCAAGGCTAAACATAAATAAATGAAATATTGAGTCCAGAAGTTAACTATCACATTTACAGTCAACTGGATTTCTACAAGAGCACCAGGACAATTCAACTGGGGAAAAAAAATAGTCTTTTCAACAAATGGTGTCGGATCAACTGATATCTACATATAAAAGAATAAAGTTGAATCACTACCTCACACCATATGCAAATATTAACTCAAAATGGATCATAGATCTAAATGCAAAAGCTAAAACTATAAAACTCTGAGAAACAGATATCAAAGTAAGTCTTTGTGACCCCGGGATTAGGTAATGGCTCCTTAAATATGACAGTATAAGTGCAAGCACAAGCAATACAATAAAAAATAAAAAGCTGTACTTCATCAAAAGTGAAAACTTCTGCTTCAAAACACTTTAATAAAGTGAAAAGACAAGCTATGGAATGGAAGAAAATATTCACAAATCATAAATCTGATGAGGGATTTGTATTTAAAATTTATAAAGAACTCTTACAACTCAGTGAAAAAATGATTAACCTAATTTTAAAATTGGCAAGTGATTTGAATAGACATTTCTCCAAAGACATACAAATGGCCAATAAGAACATAAGATGTTCAACATCATTAGTCATTGGGGAAATACAAATCAAAACCACAGTAAGATACCACTTCACACCCACTAGAAAGGCTAAAATAAAAAGATAAATATAAGTGTTAGTGAGGATGTGGAAAAACTGGAAGCCTCATACATTACAGAAAACTGTAAAACAGTAGCTACTTTGAAAAACAGTTTAGCAGTTCCTCAAAATGTTAAACACAGAGTTGCTATATGGCCCAAGAATTTCATCTGTTAAGTACAGTCAACCTGCTGTATCCCAGTTTCAGCATCCATAGATTTAATCAGCCATAGCTCAGATATATTCAGAAAAGCTCTGACTGGTGTGGCTCAATGGGTAGGGCACTGTCCCGCAAACCAAAGCCAGTTGATCAGAGCACATCCTCTAGGTTGAGGGCCAGGTCCCCAGGTGCAGGCATGCAGAGAGACAACCAATCAATGTTTCTCTCTCACATCAATGTTTCTCTCCCTCTCTTTCTCCCTCCCTTCCCCTCTCTCTAAAAAACATAAATATAATCTTTAGAATTAGAATCACTTCTAATGTATTAGCAAACTTCATTGGCTCTACCTTTAAAATATACCCAAGATCTGCCTGGACTGGTGTGGCTCAGTTGGTTGGGCAATGTCCCACAAAAGGAAACGTTGCAGGTTTGATTCCTGGTCAAGGCATGTGCCTAAGTTGCAGGTTCAGCCTTCAGTCGGGGTGCATGTGAGAGGCAACTGACTGAGGTTTCTCTCTCATGTTAATGTTCGTCTCCTCTTTCTCCCTCCCTTCCCTTCTCTCTAAAAAGAAAAATTAGAAAACAAAACAAATAAATAAAATAAAACATACCTAAGATCTGACCCCTTGTCACCACCTCCACTGCCACTGCTTTGGTAAAAGCCACAATCTGTCATAGCTGGATTACTCTAGTAGCTTCTCAATTCATCTCCCTGCCTTTTCCTCAATCTATTTTCTACACAGCACTTAGAGTAATCTTTTAAAAAATAAGTAAGTCACATTATATCACTCTTCTACTCAAAGTGACTTTCAATTATTTCTCTTAGAATAAAGCCAAAAATTCTCACTATGGTTAGTAAGCCTGACATGCTGTGCCTGCCCTCTACTCCCCTCTTCCTTCTCTGACCTCATTTCCTTCTGCTTTTCCCCATTTCCTTTTGCTACAGCCATAGTAGCTTCCTTCCCTGCTGTTCCTTGACAGCACTTCAGCCTCAGGCAGAGCCTTGGCACTTGCTGTCCTCTATCCTTTCTACCAAGAACACTTTTTCCCCAGGCACTCACATGTTACTTCCTTCAGATATTGGCTCAGATGCCGTCTTGTCGATGGGGTCCTGACCAATGCTGTATAAAATCACTGCTCTCCCATCAGCCCCATTCCTTTATCTCCCTTGTTCTATTTTTTTCTTTTCTTTTTTTCTTTTCTTTTTTCTTTTTCTTTCTTTCTTTTTTTTTTTTTTTGTTCTCACCTGAGAACATGCTTATTGATTTTAGAGAGAGGGGAAGGGAGACAGAGAGAGAAGGAGAAAAACATCTATGTGAGAGAGAAACATCAATCAGTTGCCTCTTGCACATGCCCTGACCAGGACTCAGGGACCAAACCTGCAATCTAGGCATGTGCCCTGACCAGGAATTGAATCTGCACCTTTCAGTTTACCAGATGACCCTCCAACCAACTGAGCCACACCACAGCTGCCAGAGCTTTTTTTTTTTTTATAGTACTTACCTGCTGACATTATATAGTTATTTGTTTGCATTCTGTCTACCAGAATACACACTCTACAAGGACACTATATCTCTTTTGTTCTCTGCTGCATCCCTTGCACGGGAACAGTATAGCTGGTACTCAAAATTGTTTGTCCACTAAACAAATGCATGAATGACTTCTATTTTGAGTGTGAACATAAAAATAATCACGTAGTGCTATTCCCTGAGCTCTAAGCACGTAAGAAATCACACATATCTTTATAATATTTTGTGAATTAGGAACATTTTAATAGTATCATTACAAAAAATAAGTAAAATTACCCTGATAATGCTTAAAAATACCTAATGGGAAGTAGTCAAAATCCTCTAAAACAGGTGTGAGGGCAAAAGCGTAGGCAATACTAACTGTACCTCCATACCAATTGTGAAAATACTGAAATACTTCTGTACCCCTGCTGGTAAAGTGCTGATCTTCCTGAGTCCCAGTCCCCCAAACACACGACTTCAAGTGTTTCCCTAACAACCAGAGGTGCAGTCTGCCACAGAGAGCACCTCCAGGACCCTGCTCCAAGGTTGGACGGCGCAGGTACCTAATAGGCCATTAACTATTTGATATCACCGCTGCAGGTAATAGCAATTAATGAGTTAAAGGGGAGAACCTAAAGATGGGGCTATTGAAAGCTACAGGAAAACAAAGAAACAAAAGCATCTTGTCATATCAGCTGGCTGCAGTAAGCAATCCTTACTCTTGCTGATGACAATGTAAATGTCTCTGTATAAATGAGATGTCATTTTTCCAACAGGGACAAAAAGCTCATTAAATTATCACCACAGATGCAAATGCCAGTTACTACTAGAGTAGGAGTTGTAAAGATTTACGTATTTATTTATGAGTCACCTTCTCTTTGCACATTACTGTTGGCCTGTTTTCTGGAGTATCCAGAACAAAAGAAGTCTACTTGGACAGGTTCTGATGTCAATCCCTCGACAACAATTGATAAGCAAAAGCAAAAGAGGCCTTATCTTTCCTGTTAAGTGGCCTTTTCCTTGTTCCATCCTCTTCCCGACATTTAATAAAAATGAGTTTGGGTTTACATTTCTCCTTTAATATATTAGCTAATCAAATGAATCGCACGAGATAAATATTTACCAGTTCTGGGAAGAGAGATCTCATTTTG